TTGCATATTTCTAACTAGGATCTGGCAGCAAAGAGCAAATGTATATGATAAATATATTTCCGTCATAAATACACAACCAGGGCACTTCCTGAGTGGGGATTAAGAAGGCTACTGATGCCACTGATAAGCCGCAGGGGCCAAAGGGGAGTCAAGAGGATTAGAGGATCATGGATTAATGTCTAAGGAACTGACTGGGTCTGGGAGTCAATTGCAGAATGGGTGTGTGAGAGAGAGATAGGATTTATAGGCCATTCCAGCTTCTGCCACATAGCTTGGAAGTGTGAAAAACTGAAAAAGAGCATGTTGAACGAGGCCCCTTTCTCCCTCTCATTTCCCATATGCATTTTTCCATACTAAAAAACACAGCTCTGTCAATGGATTCAACTCTGTCACTACACGTATTTGATTTTTTTTCATCTTCACATTTATTGAGAATCTTTCACTCACTCCCCCAACAAATAGTTAATAAGTTAAAGGACTTACTAGATCTCAAAAGAGTTCATTCTGTGCTGGTATTTCCCAAGATTTCCTTCTATGTATCAACTTATTCCATTGGAATAACTCATGTTAGAATAATTTGTATATTTTACCTTTCTACTTTAATGAGCTAGTGGTGGTAGAACAGGATGGTTTGTGAGATAGTACTCCTCTGATTTCTTGAGTCCCTTTCTCCTAACAAAGCTTGACCCAGTTGGGTAATAGCTAGTAGTCTCGTGCATTTGTATAGGATCGCTGTCTGTTTCTGTTTGTTTGATTTGTATGTTCCTGTTTTCGTTTTTGAGTGCCACTTCCAAAAATGGCGCCTTCCCAAATGAGCTTTTTTGTCCCACATCCAAAAAAAATTGAATATTTTTGTCCCATTGATAGCAATGGGCAGGCGATCCTATACAATGTCTCCCCTTCCCCGTAGTTGTAGGGCTGATGCTGTTTCCCACTATCGAGTTTACTTTCAATTCCGGGAGGGGATCTTTTGTATTGTGCCATCCAAATGGATGGAATGAAACGGAAATTAAACGGATTATATAGATACCAGGCCCATGACTAATAGCTACCCATCTACCATCCTTTTTTACTTGCCCACCATAGCTATTAAATCTGTGATGACTGGCTTGAAAAATCTGAAATTATAAAGGGAAATCTATGTGGAATTTCAGCAGGCTTGCATTGATTTAGTGATATGATTTGAGGATAGAGTGATATTAAAGGTTTAATTTATTTTGAAAAGGTTCTTAAAATAAAAAATGGCAAACTACTCTCCCATGACCCTGAAAAAAATCAGTTACTCATTTCTAACCCTTAACCTTTTAGTGTTCAAAGTGAAAAAATAGGCACTAGTCCTTTTTTGCCAAGGTTACCTGTTAAGAGTAATGTTATTATTTTTAGTGCATTGCTTCCCTGCACTGTTCTAAGTGTTAGCTTTCTTGATGTTTTGTGATTGAATAAAAACTAGTGCTCATTGTCAGGAAGCCAGCTTGGACATGTCTCCTTTAATTCCTTATGATCAGAGGCACCTAGGGCTGAAGAAAGAAAGAAGTGTGCTTTGCCCTTGAATCCCTAGCACTTACTAGTTGAACTAGCCTGGCATCAAATAGTCCTGGCCCTTATTGCACAGCTCCATAGCAGCATTGGTTGAGCTTTGTGCCAACTCGGGCCCTAGACCAACATTCACTACTCCCCACTTTGTGGTTTCCTCGGGAAGTTAATCCTGCTCTTTCTTATCCTGAAAGAGGAGCTATTCATACTTCATTCTTCCAAATGCTCAAGTTCTGTTTTCCAAATAAATTATGCAAATGACTGGTACAAAATTGTCTCGCATGTAACAGCTCAAGTTACTTGCTTTGCTCAGAATATAAGCCTGTGAGGTTTCGTGAAGGAGGTCTGGTTAAATTGGTTGTTGAGAGTGTAAGGACATGATGATGGCATACAGAAAGGGCACAAAATTTTGGGTTCCTGTGTATTCCTCCCTCCCAAAAGAACGTACACATTGATCTTACCAGTATATAGTCTATGCAAGGAGCCCCCAGTGGCACCGTGGGTTTAAACCCTTGTGCTGGCAGCACTGCTGACCAAAAGGTCGGTGGTTTGAATCCAGGGAGCGGGGTGAGCTCCCATCCATCAGCTCCAGCTTCTCATGCGGAGACATGAGAGAAGTCTGCCAGAGGATGGTAAAACATCAAAGCATCCCCTCGGCAATGTCCTTGCCGGCGGCCAATTCTGTCACACCAGAAGCGACTTGCAGTTTCTCAGGTCATTCCTGACATGGAAAAACAGCTTTTGTGTATTTATTTTATGTGTATTGTTAATTTATTGTTGTTATATGTTGTTTTAGATTTTTCCTGTTTAGCATTGAATTCTTGCTGTCAGCTGGTCTGTGTCTCTCTAAAGAGGTAGAGAAGATCGGGATATAAAAGTTCTAAATAAATAAATAAATAAAAAGTCTGTGCATTGCTTAACTATTTTTCACTCTTAAGTAGTGATAAGATGAGGGTGCATTTCCTATTTGGGAGGCCTAATAGAGATGGGGGAGAGCCAGGATTATTATGCCTCTGGAGATCAGGATTAAAATCCTTGCTCAGGCATAGAAACCTATTGGATGAACTTTGGCACTTTCAGAACCCCTTTTAACACATTTAACAACAACAAAAAACCCTCTCAGTAGGGCTCGCCTTATTGTTCTCATAAATCAAAAATGAGTTGAAGACACATAACAACAAACCAGAGATGGGGAAAATGATCCTTCCTCAAGATCTTAATCTCTGGATAATCAATTAAAATATGGAAATAATAAACAGTTCTTTGCCTTTTACAACATCCAACTCAAATCCCTATGTGGTAGGGATTGAAGCTTGGCTGGAGAACTGCCTTATTCCAAGTATTCTTCTGGCTTGCCCAGGCAAAGAATTGTGGGAGGAAGCTGGCAGTCTGTGATGAATGAAAGGAGCTCTTTGAGTGTTTGAATGGAAATATGTGTTTGCAAGTGTGATAGCTTTTAAAATTTGGTTAGAAAACCACTTATTGACAAATGACTGGTGTAGTCAGGGTCGTAAATGTGTATCACAGGCTTTTAGCTATGATGAGCTGTCTTACACATCTGGTTTGACCTGGCCACAAGATTTTCCATTACTTGTGACCTTTTCCCCTATGGGTTGATGGCCCTCGAATGGTTGGTTATAGGATGACCCTCAACGGATAGGTCAGTCCCACAACAGAGATTGTTGAATGAATAATAGTGGCTTTGTATGTGTGAGTTGCAAACAAACTAAGCTGTATAACCTTCTTGTTTAAGTTGACTTGTTTGATTCCATGTTGATTGTGATATAGAGCTGTTCATTTCTTGTAACAGTGCCTTGAAAACACATGACTGTTACAGGAAATGAAAACAGTGCCAGATAAAGATATAGATCTGTGTCATTCTCTTCTTCTTTGACTTAAGGCAACTTTATTTCCTCTTTTTTTGTCTCTGAAATGGAACTTGCATAGAACACAAGGCTGAGGTGAATGTAGATGTAATGTGGAACCTATGCTTGGGTCATGAATTAAGACAAGATGTGTGTTGTCGAAGGCTTTCATGGCCAGAATCACTGGGTTGCTGGGAGTTTTCCATACTGAAGCAGTCTCTCCTGACGTTTTGCCCACATCTATAACAGGCATACTCAGAGGTTGTGAGGTTTGTTGGAGACAAGGCAAGTGGGTTGCTGTAAGTTTTTCAGCTGTATGGTCATGTTTCAGAAGCATTTTCTCATGATGTTTCGACTGCATCTATGGCAGGCAATCTCAGAAGTGTGAGGTCTGTTAGAATCTAGGAAAACTTTCCTAGTTTCCAACAGACCTCACACTTCTGAGGATGCCTGCCATAGATGCAGGTAAAACGTCAGGAGAGACTGCTTCTGGAACATGGCCATACAGCCCGAAAACCTTACCGCAACCCAGCGATTCCAGCCATGAAAGTCTTCGACAATACAAGACAAGTGGGGTTTATATATCTGTGGAATGTCCAGGGTGGGAGAAAGAACTCTTGACTGCTTGAGGCAAGTGTGAATGCTGCAACTGGCTAGCTTGATTAGCATTGAAAAGCCTTGCAGCTTCAAGGCTTGGATGCTTCCTGCCTGCGGGAATCATTTGTTGGGAGGTTATTAGCTTGCCCTGATTCCTTCCTGTCTGGAATTTCCCTGTTTTTGAGTGTTCTTTCTTTACTGTTCTGAGTTTAGAGTTTTCTTTAATACTGGTAGGTCCAGCATTTCTGTGTTCTCAAATAATATGCTGTGCACTTGATAAACCAACCTGGACACAACATTGAAATATATAAGCATGTGAACAATTTCAACAGAAAGGAAGAAACCATGAAAATGAAAAGAAATCTGGCAACCAGTATAATAAAACTCTAAAATCAGAACAGTAAATAAAGAACAACACTCAAAAACAAGTGAATTCCAGACAAGAAACAATCAGGACCAGCTAATCACCTCCCAAAAAAGAATTCTCCCAGGCAGTAAGAAGCCAGACCTTGAAACTGTGAGGCCATTAAATGCTAATCAGGGTGGCCAATTGAAACATTCACACTTGCCTCCAACAGATAAGAGTTGTTTCTCCCACCCTGGACATTGCCTTGTTTACAACAAACCTCATAACCTCTGAAGATGCCTGCTTTAGATGCGAGCATAAGTCAGGAAATAATGCTTCTGGAACATGGCCATACAGCCCAGAAAACTTACAGCAACTAAGACAAGATATGTCTAGATGGCTTCTTTTCGTACAATATCTGAGAACCATTGAGGAAGCAGGTCCATTGGCCTCTATTGATTACTGCTGAGTTGCATCTTCAGTTAGGGCCCTATATTTTCTAGCAAAATGCAACTTTGCTATCTAGAATAAAGTATGAAAAATAGAGAGTAGTGATAACTTTAAAAAAATAGACCGGAGTGATAAGGGTCAAAGATAAAATAGAGAAACTTGTTATTTCTGGTGTCTCAATTAAATACATTTTCCCCACTGTTTTCCAGGTTGATGGTGATAGTCTAACACCTATCAGTGGGAACAGCACAAGAAGACAGTGTTGGGGCCTGTGCCTGTGAAGGATGGTGAAGAAAATCAGCCTGGTTCTCTGGGGCGTGGTGCTTTTTGTGGCTTGGAATGCCCTGATTCTTTTCTTCTTGTGGACACGGCCTCAGTCTTTCTCAGACCATAGCCACCTGACGGAAGAGGTCATCCGATTGGCCCAGGACGCTGAAGTGGAACTCGAGCGCCAGAAGGACCTCTTGCATCAGATCTACCGTTACAGTGCCCTTTGGAGCAGGAGGAAGGCTGATGAGGCCAAAAAGCTCCACCTGTCAGCTGCCGCAGCGTCTGCCAAACCTTCCACAACCGCTCCCTCATCCCGTCGCAGTCAGATCTCTCCGGATGCTACTTTGCCGGTGGTCGTCATTGCCTGTGACCGCAGCACAGTCCGCCGTTGCCTAGACAAGCTATTACATTACCGCCCTTCGAAGGAGCGGTTCCCCATCATTGTGAGCCAGGACTGCGGACACGAGGAGACAGCCAGGGTCATCGCCTCCTATGGAGACGCTATCATGCACATCAAGCAGCCCAACCTGAGTGATATCCCTGTGCCCACTGACCACCGCAAATTCCAAGGCTATTACAAGATTGCCCGGCACTATCGCTGGGCTCTGAGCCAGGTCTTCCGGACCTTCAAGTACCAAGCAGCCATTGTGGTGGAAGATGACCTGGAAGTCGCTCCAGATTTCTTTGAATACTTCCAGGCAGTTTTTCCACTCCTGCTAGCTGACCCAGGCCTTTGGTGCATCTCTGCGTGGAATGATAATGGCAAGGAACAGATGGTCGACGTTGCCCACCCGGAGCTGCTTTACCGTACGGATTTTTTTCCTGGTCTTGGCTGGCTTCTGCTCTCTGACCTATGGGATGAGTTAGAGCCCAAGTGGCCCAAGGCCTTCTGGGATGATTGGATGCGGCAGCCTGAACAACGGCAGGGCCGTTCATGCATCAGGCCCGAGGTGTCCCGCACTATGACTTTTGGCCGCAAGGGTGTGAGCCATGGTCAGTTCTTTGACCAGTACCTGAAGTTCATCAAGCTCAATGACCGCTTCGTGCCTTTCACCCAGATGGACCTATCTTACCTCAAGAAGGAAGAGTATGATCGCTCTTTCCTGGCCCAGGTCTATGGGGCCCCTGAGTTTCGAGTCGAGGAGCTACAGGGTAACCAGCGCCGGGAATTGGGCACAGTCCGAGTGCAGTATACCACTCGGGACTCTTTCAAGGCCTTTGCGAAAGCCTTGGGCGTCATGGACGACCTCAAGTCGGGAGTGCCCCGTGCTGGCTACCAGGGCATTGTCAGCTTCCTTTATCGAGGGCGGCGTGTTTACTTAGCGCCTCCTTCAGACTGGACAGGTTACGACCCCAGCTGGAGTTAGCAGCTGTTGATCCTTAAGCATGTTGGACCTTACAAGGAAAGGGGTGCTGGGGTTGGGTGGGTGGGGCGGACAAAACTCTGTATTTTTTTCTTCCTGTGTGGCATTCGAGTGCATTCCAGGGATGAGGGTTGCTTTGTGCACTTAAAATATGAGGGTTGGAGGGGTCCGTTGTGGAGGTGATTCTGATGCTCCCAAAAGATGGGGTGAGGCGGAGCATTCTGGGGTTTCTCAGTTCTACCTCCCTAGTGCCTATTCTCCTCCTTGACATGGCAGAGTGTCCACTCAGTTGGTTCTTTGGTGGCTCCTCCAAATGGGTGCATTTTGAGACCAAAGTGGCAAAACCCACTAAGGTTTCTCCAGCTTTACTGAGCTACCACAGGCTCTGGGTGGCTTCTGAACCAGCATGCCAGATGCAGCTCATCAGCTCTATGGTGTGGTCTGTTAGGGGCTCAGTTACTCACCCATTTGTGTTTTATGATTTCACAGAAATGAAAATGATTGAGTTAGAAAGTTCCCAATAGCTCACTGTACATAGCTGGTCTGCCACATTCAGTCTGGTGGGTCACATTTTCTGTAGGCTCAAAATACAGGGAAGAAATTCAGTCCTTTCCCCACATATTGCTTGGCCTATTCTGTTCTCACTTGGCCTGGCCTGGAAGATAGGAAAGTCTTGTGAATGAGCCCTGGGCCCATTCAAAAGGACTATTTTAATTGACCATATTGGCCTTTTAAAAATGGGTCTCTTGGATCATTTATATTTTTAGCCCCATTGTATTGGACAGTTGGGATTGGATGCATATGCTGATTCAAGTGACATGAAGATCGCTCTGGAAATGATGAGGCAAAGTAAGAAATTCTGGCTTGCATTTATCAGGAACAGTAGGGTAAAGTGGAAGGGAATATCATGGAATTGTGTTACAGAGCTGTGGTGAGACAGAGCAATAAAACACTTGTGGACTACAGTTCCCATTATGTCCTGTGCTGGCATGGTTGAGGGATTCTTAAAATTGTAATCCAGAGAGTAACTTTTTGGACCTCTGTTTTGTCTTGAGCCTACATGATATCTTAAAAAGGGGTAGACATTTTCTCCCATCCACCCAGCTAAAAGAAGGACATGATGGTTGCTCAGCAGCTCTCCTCTCAGCCCTTGCCAAACTGCTTCCTTCAACTCACAGAAAGCCTAAAAGATGGTGGACATTGTTGTCTGAGTCCATTGAAGGATACCAGGCTGAGGGAGGCTGACCCAAAGCCTTAAAACTTACAGGTGGATTATGTTTGGAAGCACACAAACGTACACCCTGCCACCATGGAATTCTCCTTGCATTTGCAAAACTCACAGAGTGATGCTGAGGTCTTAGGCTTCTGACTGATTTATGTAGAGAAGCTAGCAGACTTTTGGGGCCCCATTTGCAGACTGAGGTGGTACAGGATCAGTCATGAAGAATCCACTTTCCTCAGCTCTTACATTCTACAGCAGTGTTTCTCAAACTTTGCTCCTCCAGGTATTTGTGGAAGGTGAAGTCCACAAGCCACCTGGAGGAGCAGGGTTTGAGAAACACTGTTCTAGAGCAGGTCTGCACAACCTGTGGCCCTCCATGTGTTTGAGCCTCCTAGCTCCCAGAAGCCCTAACCTGCTTGTCGAATGGTCAGGAATTCTGGGAGCTGAAGTCCAAAACTCCTGGAGGGCAGCGGATTATGCAGGCTTGTTCTAGAGCAAGGAGTTCTAATTGATCCTGTTTGGATAGCACCAGGTTGCATTCGGTTAGAGTTTTTTTTCCCTGTTGTTCTAAGTGTTTTTGGTGGCTCACTCTTATAGGATATTTAGGAGAAGAGGCTGGTTTGTTTAATTATGGCCTATCAGAGATGCCATGTTTTTTTCTTCCCAAGTGAGTAAAGATTTCCCTCCCACCCTCTCAGGCTGCTTTAATTCTCCTTTTTGGAGGGAAAAGCTTTTCTCCTTCCTAAAATTTGAGCTTTGGAGCATGCTGTCATTTTAGTGGCATTTCCCAGAGCATAAAAAATGTGTTTTTTTAATATTAAAAATCCAAAAATTCTTTGGCCAACTACCCTTGCCCTTGGGGATTGTGGTCCAAAAAAGGATTCCACACACACACACACACACACAAACTGTATCATTTGTTTGTTGCTGCCATATGAGAACAGGACACTGCCGTGTCTGGGAGGAGTAAGGCAAGGGAGGAAACACTCCTGAGAGGACAGCAGAACGTGCCACAGAAGGGGCTTTCTGGAAAAGGAGCCCAGCCTTACTCAGTGGTGCGGACTCTGCCTTCCCCATCTTTGCCTCTGAGGTGCTGCAGAGCTGCTCTACAACCACTTTACTCGCAGCAGGCATTGAGAAATGACTTCAGACCTCACTTGGCCAAAATTCAGACCACACCAAAGGGTAGTGTATTTTGTTGGTTCCAATGCTGTATTACTTTTGTGTGTCCTTTTTTTTCTAAAGAAAAACAAAAAAAAATACATACTACGCTCTCCTTGGTGAGTGGAGGAAGAACACTTCTCTTGGCTAATTTTAGTTAAGAATTTCCTTCCTGGGTCAGGTTTAAGTGAAATGGGTGTTGGAGGCCTTCCTTTCATGTCTCTGTTCTTCTAGTCAGTGTGGATGAGAAGACAGGAGATGGTGCCTTGGGGGACAAAACGAAATGAGTTTGATGTATCTGCTTTATTGTGTTCTGGAAAACAGCAACGGAGCCCTTAGATGTGTTGGGGAGACACCTGTTCTACTGAAGATCCTCACCTTGTGGTTTTGTAATTTTTTCAGTGTATTGTTTTGGATTCTCTCAGAGGAGTTCCTCTGTGAATGAAGACATATTTGTAAAGTTCCTGGGATGACAATAAAGCAGGCAGAAATTGATTTGTATGTGATATTGCTGGATCCATGGAAGGCACCCCCAATTTCTTCTTCACTGGGGGAGGGAGGTGCTACTGGCAGAGGTTAGGAGGCTCAGCCTAGTAGAAGAAATTGAGTTTTGGGACATTTTTGCTAGGTGAGACCAAACCATTTTAGTCCCCAGAGAAGTCTTTTTTTTTTTTTTTTTTTGCAACAGGAACATCTGTTATCTTTCTTTTTTAAAAGCAAGACCTCTCTTTGAAACTAAAATTGGCCAAAGGGCATTTTGAAAGCACAAGCTTCTTGGTCCCTAGTTGCCCTGTGGGGTACATATATCGGATATGCTGTACCTTGTTCTCCTCTGTCCTGAAAGATTAGTGGGAAAATGATCTCTCACAAGTCATCTTCAAATGTTGGTCCTCCAAGGGCTAGGGCTTTTGCTGACTCCCTGATGACTGGGACATCCAGAAGTTGGAAACTTGGAGCTTGAGAACAGCTACCATATATGTTAGGACAGTGGTTCTCAACCTGTAGGTCCCCAGATGTTTTGGCCTTCAACTTCCAGAAATCCTAACAGCTGGTAAACTAGCTGGGGTTTCTGGGAGTTGTACCAGAACACCTGGAGACCCATAGCTTGAGAACCACTGTGTTAGGAAGATGATAAAGCATGTGGTGATAGTGCACTGTCTTCCTTTTGCACATTTGTTTGGCCCTAGTCCCTGCTTTTGAAAACTGCCTGATTCAAAAATTGCCAAAAATTGGGAAGTTGGAAGCTGTGGCATATAAAGAAAAGACAAATCTAGGGTGCCATCGCCTTTGAGTACATGTTCAGACTGATTCCCGCTGCAGATAAAGGAACACCTTTGAGGATGGGCAGCTCATTTTAGTAGACTTCATAGTGATTTCAAGGGAGACAAGGCAATGTATGCTGTTCCTCTTCCCTTTCTGTCTTCCTGGACCCAGACAAAAAGCCACAGCTGCTGGAGAGAAAGAGGGGAAAGCACTGCTAGTGATGCATCATTTCTTCCCTCCACAAAGTGCTCCAAATTTGCCTGTATCTCTGCCTTTCTTCCTTTAATCGAGGCAGAAGCTAGGAGCATACATCTGTACATCACTGTACATGTTTTCCAGTGAATGGAGAGTGTTTTAAGGCATGTCCTGCACCAGGAGTCTGACTTAAGGATTTTCTCTTGTCTTGCTTGGATCCCACAGTTCTGCGTCACTACCCGTACCACTTGTTGCCTGATGATTTCTCTCTCTTGGCATGTCATCTGTGTTTGTCTTTTGCCCAGGTTTACAGGGCTACTGCTTCTCTTTCCGATCTGGATAACAAATTGTTCTTAAGGGAGCAAGAGGAGCCAGCGGAGACCCGAGGGCCAAAACTAAGGGTTTCTGTCAAGGAAAGCCCACCAGCAACCGCTGTCCCCTCTCGTCTCCATCCCTTTCCACACACAGAAGTCTGTTTTGAAATTTGAACTAAATATATACGCTGGGTGCAAGACAGGAGTTATTGCATTGTGTTTGATGGAGAGATGCTGTTTTTATGTCCAGAGTTCAATTGGTGAAAAAAAAAGTTTAAAGATGCAAAAACTTATTTTCCACAATAAAATAAACTGGTCCTTTTCAGACAGCCTGTGTCTTTGATCTCATTGTGTCACTGAGTGTTTGTTAGCCAGTGTTAAGTCAAGCCAGACAAATGTCAAGGACAAAACAAACCCAAACACCCTTGCTTTTTTTCACACCAACCAAAGATTTATGTAAATCTGTGTTCCAAATGGCTCACTAGCTGTTCCATGGGGGCTCAGAATCAGAACATGGGAGTGAGTCATGCCTGCTTTTCCTCTCTTGATCACTGTCAGCAGTAATTGGGACCCAGATCACAGGCAACAGGAAGATCCACTTTCAATGCAGACTTCATTTATTGCAGTATCATTGCTACCAAGGGCCATTGGTAATCCCTAACCACTTCTTTAACAGGTTACTTCAAAATGAAAGACATGCTTACTCTCTTTGGACTTAAAGATCCAGATTCCCCGTTGTTTTTCTGAAGATCAACAGAACAACTATTTCAAGTGTTGTCAAAGGCTTTCATGGTTAGAATCACTGGGTTGCTGTGAGTTTTTTGGGCTGTATGGCCATGTTCCAGAAGCATTCCCTCTTGACGTTTCACCCACATCTATGGCAGACATCCTCAGAGGTTGTGAGGTCTGTTGGAAACTAGGAAAATGGGGTTTATACATCTGTGGAATATCCAGGATGGGAGAAAGAGCTCTTGTCTGTTGGAGCCAAGTGAATGTTTCAATTGGCCACCCTGATTAGCATTTAATGACCTCACAGTTTCAAGGTCTGGCTTCTTACTGCCCGGGGGAATCCTTTGTTGAGAGGTGATTAGCTGGCCCTGATTTTTTCTTGTCTGGAGTTCCCCTGTGTTTGAGTGTTGTTCTTTATTTACTATTATAATTTTAGTGTTTTTTAAATACTGGTAGTCAGATTTTCATGGTTTCTTCCTTTTTGTTGAAACTGTCCACATGCTTGTGGATTTCAGTGGCTTCTCTGTGTAGTCTGACATGGTGGATGTTAGAGTGGTCCAGCATTTCTGTGATCTCAAATAATATGCTGTGTCCAGGTTGGTTCATCGGCTGCTCTGCTATGGCTGACTTCTCTGGTTGAGTTAGTCTGCAGTACCTTTTTCATGTTCTTTGATTTGTGTTTGGGCAATGCTGCTGCGTTTGGTGGTCCCTATGTAGACTTGCCCACAGCTGCATGGTATACGGTAGATTCCTGCAGAGGTGAGAGGATCCCTCTTGTTCTTTGCTGAACGTAGCAGACTAATTCAACCGGAGAAGTTAGCCATAGTAGAGCACTTGTAGAACCAACTTGGACACAGAAATGCTGAACCACTCTTAACAACTACCATGTCAGACTACACAAAGCTTCCATTGAAATCCAGTAGCATGTGGACAATTTCAACAGAAAAGAGGCTACCTGGCTACCAGTGTTAAAAACTCAAAAATTAGGATAGTAAATAAAGAGCAGCACTTAGAAGACTGGGGAATTCTAGAGAAGAAACTATCAGGGCCAGCTAATCAACACCCAACAAAGGATCCCCCCCAGGCAGGAAGCAGCCAATCTTTAATGCTGCAAAGCTATTAAATGCTAATCAAGGTGATCAATTGCAACATTCACACTTGCCTGAAGCAGACAAGAGTTCTTTCTCCCACCCTGGACATTCCACAGATATACAAACCTCACTTGGCTAGTTTCCAACAGACCTCAAAACCTCTGAAGATGCCTTCCATAGATGTAGGCAAAACATCAGGAGGGAATGCTTCTGGAACACGGCCATACAGCCTGGAAAACTCAAAGCAACCCAACTATTTAAAGTTTATTTTTATAAGCATTTTTGTGAGTGTTTCGTTCATGAATTAAACTGGCATCTGAGTCATTTCCTCCAGCTATCTTTCCGGCTGTACAAAACTATATCAAAACAAAACTCGACACCCTTACTCTGCATTTTGACTTCCTTTCTTCTTCCATTTCATTTAGTTTCTTTTATTTTTTAAATGTTCAATCTCTCTAAGTCTCATTTCATACACATGCTATAATCTACATCAGTGTTTCTCAACCTGGGGGGTTGCGAGAGGGTATCAGAAGGGTCACCAATGGCCATCAGAAAACACAGTATTTTCTCTTGGTCATGGGGGTTCTGTGTAGGAAGTTTTTCCCAATTCTATTGTTGGTGAGGTTCAGAATGTAGGTGAACAATAAATCCCAGCAACTACAACTCCCAAATGTCAAGGTCTATTTCCCCGAAACTCCACTAGTATTCACATTTGGACATATTGAGTATTCGTGCCAATTTTTGTCCACATCCCTCATTGTTTGAGTCCACAGTGCTCTCTGGAGGTAGGTGAACTACAACTCCAAAACTCAAGGTCAATGTCCACCAAACCCTTCCAATATTTTTTCTTGGTCATGACAGTTCTGTGTGCCAAGATTAGTTCAATTCCATCATTGGTGGAGTTCAGAATGCCCTTTGATTGTAGGTGAACTATAAATCCCAGCAACTACAACTCCCAAATGACAAAATCAATCCCCCACCAACCCCACCAGTATTCAAATTTGGGTGTATAAGGTATTTGTGGCAAATTAGGTACAGTGAATGAAAATACATCCTCGTAATACATTGCATTTACATTACGATTCATAATAGTTGCAAAATTACAGTTATGAAGTAGCAACTAAAATAATGTTATGGTTGGGGGTCACCACAACATGAGGAACTATATTAAGGGGTCGCGGCACGAGGAAGGTTGAGAAACACTGATCTACATCCTTATATTTTAATCTCCCAGCAGCATCTTCGTATGACCCAACATCCCTCAGGCTGAAGATGTAGCTGTCTTAATTGGCGCTAGTGTGCAAAAATAGAACACCAATATTCTGCAAAGCACTGGACTGAAACTATAATTTTTTCAAGTCCATATGGCTGTACATTGAGTTGAGATATGTGGGGAATTTCAGAAGCTGTTCAGAAACGGACTGTTCAGGTTTCAGCGAGGCGAGGCAAGTAATTGACCATCTGTCATTTAGAAAGCAAACGGCACTGCGTTGGCCAGAAGGAAAAAGGTGTTTTCATTAATACGGATCTTTATTAGGGGCAACCAAAAGGGCAGCGGAAAACATGAACAAGCTTTCAAGATCTCCAGGTGTCAATATGCTACAAAACACAAGACGCACAAGGTGAAAGGAGAGGAAAAAGCTGACTTGAATGTGAAGACATGTTAGCTGTGCGATCTTAGCCTGAAGCTGAAATGGAACTGAGTTTCTAAATGAAAAGGCTTGTTTTCCACTGATCCAGAGACTAGGACATGGAGCCATGGATGCAAACTATTGGAATTCAACCCCACGCTACCCAAGACTCTAGTCCTGGATGAGGAACAACTTAGTTAGCTTAGAATAGGCTGAGCATTTCTCTTCTCCGCTGTTTCCTAAATGACAGTTGGAATTTATCTATTTTAATCTCCTCTCTGTTTCTGCTCTCATTCTGATTGGTTGTGTAGAATGGATGCTTTTCTACTGCACATCTTTACTTTTGACTTCTGCTTTTCCATCTTTGTATGTGCTGTGTGTTTGAGAGTTTTAATGAAACTTTAATAATAAAACTTTATTTGTACCCCGCTACCATCTCCCCAAGGGACTCGGTGCGGCTTACATGAGACCAAACCACAACACATCAATAAACAAAAGCAATAGCAATAATCAATACAAAACAGTTAAACTCAAAACAGAAAATATACAATAAGCAATAACAATAACAATATCAAAACATACAGCATTTAAAAACCTATGGCCAGGCCAAATGTAATAATTCAAGTTTAAAATTAAAAATGCTGGGTATGAACAAGGTAAGGCAAATTAGGATAGGATTTTCAAGGAAGGATGAGGGCACGCAGACAATCCTAAGTCAATATTAAAGTGCGTTTGAGGGCATATTGCTAAGAGTTTTCCTTATTCTGGGAAGGCACACTGGAATAACCACATTTTCAGGCTCCTCCTAAAGTCTGCCAGCGATGGAGCATGTCTGATGTCCTTAGACAGTGAATTCCAGAGTCGAGGGGCCACCACTGATAAGGCCCTCTCCCTCATCACCACAAATCGCGCCTGGGAGCGTGAGCAAGGCCTCTCCAGATGATCGAAGAGATCGTGTGGGTTCGTACACAGAAATGCGGTCATGCAGGTAGGCGGGCCCCAAGCCGTTCAGGGCTTTGTAGGTAAGAACCTGCACCTTGAATTGGGACCGGAAAATGAACGTTTTTCTCTCTGTGTGCGTGTCAGAGAGCTGTAGTGATTGGTGTTTTTGAAATCTTTGAAGATTTGAAATCTTAGAAGAGATGGGTGTTAGGGTGTTAGGAGTCAATTTCTGCCGGCATGAAGACACCACAAATTCCCTCCGTGACATCCTGACTGAATCATCCTGGCTGACTCAATTCTCTCTCTGTGACATTTTGAAGCCAGCAGAGGGTGCTGGAAACCTTGTATTGGAACTTGTGAAGCAACAACCTCTAATAAGGAAACTGAGAAGAGGGGCGAGATGGGCAGGAAAGGTGTATAAAAGGAAGTGGTGGTGGGAAAAAGTCAGTAGAGTCTTTCTTTGCTGCAGAGATACAAGCAATATATCCATTTCAAAGCAGAACCGGCTTGTGAGTGGTTATTTAATATTACTATATAGATCCTACATTCTAACATAGGGCACCTCAGACCCAGTTCTTTAACCATTAAGAAATGCAGTTCTTATTTATGTAAATAAACCTTTTGTGACTTTTTAAGATTGGACTCTGCATCTTTGCCTGCCTATGTTCTAAATTCTTTACAGCCACATCACATGGTACTTCACACTCTGCTTGCTGTGAGCTGAATGTTCAACTATAAGTATTCTGTGTTGTTGAAGGCTTTCATGGCCAGTTTTCCAGGCTGTATGGCCATGTTCCAGAAGCATTTTTTCCTGACTTTTCACCCACATCTATGGCAGGCATCCTCAGAGGTTATGAGGTATAAGTACCTTGTTTGTATTTTGGATGCTCTACAATATATTTTGGGTAATTTTCCTTAACACAAACTACAAGACAA